CAGCTACGGCAAACCCGGTGTCGGTGACCCGAGGTGCGATGGCAGAGCTAATCCATCGTTGTCGCGATTGAAGGGTCAAGCGATCGCGGCCATAAATCCAGTTGAACCAGGCCTCGGGCAAGGCGCACAAATGCCCGGGGGTTCTGCAGCCTCACAGCCGAGGGTGCGGAGCCCCTGCGCCGGGATGGGGGCAATGCCAGCTGATCCGCCCTCTTGAAGCGATGGGAACGATTTTGTTTCGCTTTCAGTGAATACGCTGGGGAGAAACCTGAGGCGCAAAAATGCAAACAGAGCAGATGTGTGAAATCGCCTCTGTTACAGAAGCAACTGCACTGAGGAGGAGGAAAGAATTTTTTCTTGTGCCTCTGTCTTCCCACACTTAAGCATGATTTAAACATACAAGTATGTTCTGTAGGTGGTTAGCAAACATTTATGCAAGGTGCTGAACTCCAGTCGTAGAGAAAAGACAAGGACTTGTGCCTGTGAATTCTAGCAGCCTGCAGTGAAGCCTAGTGGCTACTTTGGTCAGCAATGCAGCAGCGTTGTGGTGTCTCACTGCTTGCCTTCCTTCCCAAATCCCAGGCAATTGTTCATGGCTGGTGAATCAAGGATCACTGGCCACTGGGAAAAGGTAGGTTTGAAGGAAAAGTCCAAAGACTTTTCAGTCAGGAGAGAAGTCAGGGAAAACATAGAGACAAGTTTTGTTGTCACTGGTGGGAAAGCTGGACTTTGTGGAGGTTATGCACCATGAATCTAAAAGAAGAACTTCAAGCAGAGTCTTAATTATGAGAGGCACAAATCTTTAAGATGCTATCTTAATAAAATCCAGTGTTTCCTTTAGTATGCTTTCATCTCAGGGTGATTACTGCTTCTTAGGTGGTTGTTCTCTGTAAGATTTCTCTTACAGTGAATGACTTCCAGGTAGCATTTGCACTTCTAGTCCCCATCTCCTCCAAATTGTACATGTATGCACACACCCTGCCAGCCAAGATACATTGGCTTTACCCAACATTACCTTCTCCTAAAGCAACCCTGTTAAGTCCACATATTGCCCTCTTCTATTCTTTTACAGTCTGTAACATTAATGTATGCCATCATACTGGTTTTAGTTCATTCTTTAAATAGCTCATGCTCTTCCTGCTTCTAAATGCTGTTCTACCACATTTCAGTTCTCCATCAATTAACCAGTGTCACAACTTGGATCAGTGATTTAAGTTTCTTCGCTTCATCTGGTGGCAATGCTACAGCAATCTCAGGCCTTCTGGTGGTCCCCAGAAAGGAGCAGAAATTTTCTCCCATTCTTCACACAACTTCAGACCTTCTTTTCGTGGCTTTTCTGATTGTTTTCTGTCTTCCAAAGCTATGGAAACTGGCTACAGCAAGTACAGGATGTTGGGGGGAGGCTGGATTCCCTCGAGTTACTGAGAAACATCACAGGCATCTGATACCTAACTCATGTGCAGGTTTAAGCCAGCTGCCAGAGTTGGGTCAGGAAGGAATTTCTCTTCTGGTTTGGACTGGCAGAATGCTGCATTCGTAGGAACATTAAAGCATTCTCACTTACAGAACTCTTTCCTGTTCTACAGATAATGATCTTTCCTCCTCTGACATACTCTTAAGTTGGATGTGAGGTTGGGATGCTCTGGTACGCATGGAGTAAATACTCTCCTGTGAACCAAGTGTCTGGTACATGGGTTCGCTGGGACTGCAGGGGAAGCACTTGATCACTCAAGTGGTCCTTTCCTGTCCTGTGTGTCTGTTCTGACGAGGCTCTTTGAGTTAATAGCCAAGTTTTTTGTTTTGCCAATTATACTCCATTTATGAAAATTTCCCGATGGATTCACTCACTGCCAATACTCCTCCAACCCTCCTAACACTCCTTTAGCAATTACCTTATGCCTATTCCAGCTTTCTCCTTCTGTTATTAAAACAAGACAAATTACAAGGAATCTTAATTTAAGGGGTAAAAGACTTTGGTAAATGAGCACATTTACTTTGATTCCTACCCATATTTCAGGCTACATACACATACTTTCATGAAGTCCCTCCAACAGGCGTTCTGCTGGCAGGCAGACATTCCCCAAATTCATCATGTTGCTGTGCCTTTGACCTCTTCTCTGGTGTCAGAAAGACTTCTATCAAATATTACCATGGGCGTCCATTTCTTTCTTCTCCAGTCTCCTTCCCTTTAGGTTAATTCAAATGAAGTTATTTGCAGTGGGACATTTCTACTTAACTCTGTACTTGAAAACATCTTTCAAAACTGGAATTATTCTGAAAATCAAAAGTTACGCAGATCCAGTCCTAGAACTGTTTCTCAGTCCTTGTTTGACTAAGCATGGTCTTCAAGTGTTCATGACAACACGTAAGCATTTAGCTTAAAGCAATGAAAGTTGTACTGAGAGAAGAAAACTAAGGAAATTATTTTTGAAATGTACAATAATACACCAAGTGTAAAATCTCAGGGTTGTTTGCTACCCTTTTTTCTGGCTGGAGCTGGAGAAGTTAAAATTAAATTGCAATAGCTTGGAAGGGGCTATGTTTTGACAGTGTCAGTATGCTGTTATTTCAGGGGTGAGTTTAGTAGGTGAGCACACAAGCAGAGATAGCAGAAGGGGTAAGTTTGATGGGTTCCCAAAGTTTCCTGCAGTATCTGTAGAGGCGGGGTGCTCGCAAGGCAGTTCTTAGCACGTCAGGGCACTTTCCAAGGACAGGAAATAATTAGCAGAGGAGAGGCATTATCTTCCCTGTACATTGTTGTGACAGATGCACTTGACAGGTGTCCAGCAGACAGACACCAGAGTTCAGTTATTCTCTGCAGCCCAGACCAATGTCAAGCACCACAGGATAAAAGCTCTATTAAAGTTTCGAAATGTTCTTAATTTTACCAATATAAATTTTCAGTCTCCGCCTTTACTATACCCCGACTCCAGCATTTTGGCCAGGAAGCACGCTACTGCATGTTGGCCCCAGGCGACCCTCATATTGCCTCTCAAGTCTTAAGACAATTCTCCTCACCACAGAGCAGAGATCAGAAGAGCAGATTATACTGCTGTAAACTGAAGAGTAATGGAGAAGATACGAGAATGCAGAGTTATGGCTTTGAAATACTTTTTCCACTGCATTTCTCCCGGTGGCTTAACCATCTCTTCTCCCTCCCTTCTCTGACCTCTTTCTTCCCTGCAGCAAATGCTGCAGTCTCTGTGAGACTCTTGATCCGCAGCCATTGCTCCATTCTCCACCCCCCCTCTGCTCCCAGCCCACATTAACACCTTTCACAGTTTGACACCTTCCTCCTCTTCCCTGACACCTAAGGAAAGGGATGAGTCTTTGAGGTGCATAGGTGCCAAGCTAACAAGAGGGAGAGGTCTGTTCTGGCCCAACCCTGCTTTCCCACTGTCGCTCTGCATATAAGCAAAAGGACTGGGCTAACCCAGTACAGACATGGGAAACTGAGCAGGACTTAACCCAACTTCATTCATTGTACAGTTGAATAAAAGCCCTTCAATTCTGAGTTAAAATCTTCCAGACCACTGCTCCAGAGAGGGCATGCCAGCTGGTGCAGATTTGATGGCTTTTCTCCAGAATGCAGATTCTGATCTGCTCCTGGGACAGTTGTGAGGCAGGTTCCCAGAGGAATACTTGTCCTGCTGCAGGTGCAGCAAGAGAAACATCATAAAATTTCTGTGGTTTCATTCTTAGCCCGAGTCGTGTCACTGACATTTAATTAAGAATGCTGAAAGCACTTTCATCCAATGATCCCAAGGAAGAGGGAGTTAAGCACGTTCTGGGCATTGCTGTCCACTCTTTCCCATATGCTTCTCCCAGCTACAGGTAATCAGGCCAAGTCAGAGCAAGGATGAATAAAAACAGGCTCTTCACATAGCTTTTTCTTAAAAGATCAAGGCCATGATGTCAGTCCAATGTTTCCCACAGTCCTATGAACAGAGTCCCATCAAAAAAGCAAGCAGAAGGGCTGGAATCGGAAGGACCCCTATCCTGGCTCACAGTCCTGGCATCGATGGCTTGGCTGGACAGGTTAGAATCGTGGCGCTCCGTAGTCATCTGGCATTCTCTCAATATTGTATCTGAGCAAGAAAAAGGAAAACCCATGAAGACAACCTACTCCATGTGTCTTCCCTCCCCATGCAGCGACAGGTTTACACACAGACCGAAGAGCAAGAAGCTTTGTTGCATTTCTACTTGCAGCTCAGATCTCCAGGAAGAAAAACACTACTTCTGAAAGCAAAAAGCCTTCATAAAGTTGCTGTTATCTTTCACCTCAAACTCCTTAGAAATCGAGCATCTCAAAAACTTACCAGCTTCAGAGAAATACAAAATGGTGGTTTTGTAAGATCTGACTTAGGATTTAAGAGCAGACCACTGTGCAGAATAAAACTTTGGCCATTCAAACTTATGATTCATGGCCACAGTGAATAACGGGCAAAGATGTTTTGAGAGAAAAATCTTCTGAACCACATTCTAATTACGTATCAGTTAAGATTACATATTTATAGCAAGCAATCTAATTTCTGATACATCGCTCTGTCTGTGCATTACTCATTGTCTCCACTGCTAGCACAACTGCTTCCCTTCCAGCATCTCTCCCATCTCATTTGAAGACTTCGGCCCTTTTCTTACCACATCCTGACTTCTCTCCCTACCATGCTACCAAACTTATCTACCATGCTGTGAAACAATTTGGCATAGGTTCTTCTGGGCTGTATATTATGTAAAAGAAATATTAAAACACTGGATATGACAAATGAAGGTGAGTAAAGTCTTCTTAGTTAGGTTTTACGAGTGCTTTGGAAGGAAGAGGAAATTAATTTAAGCAAATGTTTTTACAGTAGATCACTGGTCCTAGTACCTATATAAAAATAATACAGTGAGCCAGTACTTGCAGACACTAGAAAAATCTGTTGCTTTGAAATCGCTGCACTAGCATCCTTCTGGATTGGTTTGGTTTTTAGTTAAGAAGCAAATTCAATCTTTTAGCTGAGGGTACACAAAGCTACCAAACAGAACATGGACCAAGAATGGATCTTTTCTGCAAGCGCCTGTAGAATGCATTTGCCTGGTAGTCCTGCTGGTAAGCAAAACTGATCTGTGGAAATACTGGCCTCAAGGAAACTAGTTTTCCAGGTAAAGGCAAATAAACATGTAGACTACAATAAAAGTGGGTCTGTAACCAGTCTCTTCCCAGCAGCAGCTGTACTTCTACTTCTGTGCAAACACTAAGCCCTTTACTACAGCCTGGACCGCAGGCAACGCAGGACATAAATACACAGCCATATAATCCCTGTCAGACAAGGACTGTACCAGGCAGTGTCCCTCTCTGACAGAGATTCCTTACCTGTGCCTGGAAATATACATTATAGGCACTCCTGGGATTTTTCGTATTCTCCGCTTGAGCTCTTTATCCACTGTGGCCACGATGTAACATTTGTGCTGCAAAAAGAGAGGCGAGTCAGATTCAACGCCAGTGAATCCACACAAAGTAGACAAAGCCGAGGAAAAGCTTCTATTCAGTGAGCCGATTTAACCCAAGAGGGCTACGAGTCCTTAGAGAGGCATTACTAGGACTTGTTAGAGAACTCCACAGCAGACCAGTAAAATCCTCCTCATCATCAAAATACACTCCAAGAAACATCCAGAGGCTGTTCAGCCTTCCCAGCTGGCAGCTTTCCCATCCTAGATGCTGTCCTATACAATGAAAACGTTCGGGCAAGACTATACATTACTTCAGAGCAAGTTGTGCTAGCAACCGAAACTGCCTCTTAATGAGATTTTAGTTTGCAGGAAACTGAAGTCATCAGTAACTAGGAGGGTTCAAGAATTTTTAGTGTGTTAGCACAGTTTAGGAACTTTCAGAAACAGAAATACCTGAGTGACCCTCTGGACCAAGCAGTCGTCGGCGTAGGTTCCTTTGTGCATACACGGCAAGCGTTCAAAGCGAGGGTCCTTGGCAATTCTGTGGGGACACATAAGGCAGCATCGCAGCAATCAGGTGAGAGTGTAGAGTGACAGAGCATGGAGAAAGAGGAATACCCCTTTCTGTGACATGCGGCATGTTATTCTCAAAACAGGGGCTGAAGGGATGGAGTGAATGGTCCACAACAGTCAATTGATAAGAGGAGCAAACAAACAATGCAATGTGTCTGGGTAATTATTTTGGGTTAGGTATTTCTTACTACTTGTTGGGCTATTTCTTTATTTTTAGAAATTTCCGTAATTAAAAAAAATAAATCTATGTATATTCTGAGAAAGAGGAGGAAGTGTTATTTTCAAAGTCTAGGAGGGGAAAAAGACTTGCAGATCAATATTATGCACCCATACCTAGCACTTAAGTTTTAAAAAAAGTGATCTAAAACTCGAGCCATTGAACTGGTCTCATACAACCAGAGAAACAAAACCAAGTTTGGGACTCTGCAACAACCTAACCACCCTCTAGTGTAAGAGCACCATCATGGAAAGCGCTTTTCATTTTGTTACATTAAAACATCATGTTCCAGAAATGGAGAACACCCTGCACCTACCTTAATGCCACGCGGTACTTCTGTCCCAACTTCTCAATTTCACCCATCACACAATCTGTGATACATGGAATACCTACGTGCAAAAGAAGTCTGTATTACAACCAAGCAGTATTTCTTTAGAGATTTCTGCAGTACTGCCCACAGACTCAGGAACTATCATGGAACTCTGTAACATATTACTTACAGTTTTAAACTTCTCAGAACTGAAAAGGTGGTGAAATGTAAAGCCACTGCTTGTGACTATGCCATGGTAATTTTAGATGTTTAAGCTATTAATGCTTTATGTTTGCTGAGATTACTATTTAAGACCACTGTTTGACTAAAACTAAAGAAAGTTCCATGGTTAACACAGTCATGAACAATGAGCTTGATGATTATAGCACATATCTTTTTTTTTAAAGATTTCTGTTATCCTGAGCTGATGGTATGAGGTCAATAAAGCACATCACGAGCACTATGTAGTCCAGAAGAAGCTGTGAGTGATGCAGACACTCACACTTGGCATAAAGACAGTCCATCATTGATTGCACCAGGTCCAGCTTGGCCTTGATGGAGAAGTTGATGAAGTTAGTGTCCACCAGGATGTGATAAGGGGGCCCCAACTGGGTATTATACTGGAAGAACAAGCAAGAGGGATGCTGGGGGCTGCCGGGAAGACAAAGAATTCAAATCAGTTAATTGCAATTAACAACACATCCAATCCTACAACTTGCACAGAATGACGGAAGGGTCACCAGCAGAAGGAAGGACCTGTCAGGTCTCCCACCACCACCCAAGCCCAACTCCTTGGTTTGGGGCACCGTTTCCTACTCTGGCAGTTTTGCTCAGAAACGCCCGTGGCCGCAGCGTGGCCGTCCCTTCCTCGACCCCCCC